TCCAAGGCCTCCCCAATGAACTGCTTCCCAGTCCTGAACTGGAAATGCACAGTAGGCCTCGCAGCAGGAAGCTCAGTTCTCTCTCTCCCCCCCATCCCATCCTCATCCTCATCACACAACCCCCCACCCCCAAGCATCTCAATTGCAGGACCAAACGCCTCCAACACCGAAACACGCTTCCCATCACCACCACCACCACCACCACCACCACCCTCATCCGAAACCTTAACAACCGGAGAAACATCCTTGTCATCTCCACCAACCACTTGAGGATCCAAACCAGCAGCACTATCTGATGAAGCGGAAGTAGTTGCTTTTGCTTCCACCGACCCATTACGCAACAACAAACGTTTCTGCAAACTCAACAACGACCTCTCAGCCTTCCTACGCTGCCTCGCTTGTTCTATCTTATCCTCGCGAGGATCGGAAACCCTCTCGTCCCACACGGGTGTGTGAATATACGTGTGAGGATCGGGTAAAGCCGGTAACCACGCGGGTATATGCTTCGACGGTGGAGTTTCACCCATCTGATCAAAACTCGGGATGTTCATGTTCATGTTCATGTTCGTCTTCGTGTTCGTCCCCTCGCGAATCACCGGAAATTGAGGAATCGGCTGAGCGAAGGGAACCTCGTCGGCGGATTCCACAAAGTTCGCGATCTCTCTGACGCCGGCGCCGGCGCCGGAGAAGGCTCGCGGCGCTTCAAGGTCCTCGAAGGCGCGAATCGCGTCGAAGACGCTGCATTGCGATCGGCCGGCGAGGTTGGCGTAGGACTCGGCGGTCCTGCCTAGGTCGAGGAGGTAGCGGATGGCGACGTCGGCGAAGGCGTCGAGCGCGGAGGCGGTGGCGCCGTGGAACCCCGCGGCCTGGCAGAGCTGCGCCGCAGCGAGGCGCGCGGCGGCGCGGCCGAAGTCGTCGGGCGCGGCTCGCCCTCCGCCATTGGTCATGGTCGTGCGGTGGCGCGATTAGGGTTTGGGCGCGCCGCATTGTTTGGGGGCCATGGGGTTTGAATGTTTCCGGTCGGTGCAATCGGAGAAGGGGTCGTTGGAATATAAATAAAGAAACAAA